CCTCTCCTAGAGCTGGTGCCCCCGCAGGGGTGCTGGGACTGCTGCCCCCATAATCCCCAGCCGCTCCTTTCCCGACTTGACAGCGGCGGGGCCCATCATCCACAGCCCACCTGGCCAGGGCGGGAGGTCGCAAGTGGGAAGGACGACCTATCCCCCCCCCGCCCTTAGAAGACCCTGCCTGGTCGCAAGGGGGACCCTCCATCGTTGGCCCCTTCCCCTGGCATCTCCTGCTGTGCCCAAACCTGGCAGGCAAATGAGCTCCTCCCCCCCGCCCGCATGTGGCTGTGCTTTAGTCCAGACTTTTTCCCTCCCCAGAGTTTCCCTTTTTCTTCTCGCAAGCACCTCGGAGCTTGCCTTTCCAGCCCGGCCCTCACTGCGGGGTGGGCATGAAAGGGCACATGGCAAACTTGGCACGGCCGTGGGGACGTCAACCGCTCTTCCCCTGCCAGGGCATGGGGGGGGCGTTGGAAAGGGAGGGCACCCTCCACCGTGTGTCATCCGGCTATTTTGGGGAGCATCCCGCCCCCCCATCCCCACACCTGTTGTTTGACAGACGGTCCCGCAGAACGGTTTGGCCGGCCTGCAGGCTGCCTTACCGGATGATGACTTAATGTGTTAATTGCAGGTAACTTGTTATTTGTTTTCTGCCGGCCTTCTGTGGCCAAGGAGGTGCGTTTCACAGCACGAATAAGCAACGGTTGCATCAATTGAAAAACTGGACAAGTTGGGGCACGATGCACCACTTTCTGGGGTGTTATTAGTAATAATATTAGATTTTCATCCTGCCTTTTTTCTATAGAACTAAAGCGGCGAACATAACTAATACTTTTGCCTCCTGTTTCCCCCACAACAACGACCCTGTGAGGTGGGTCAGGCTGGGAAAGAATGACTGGCTAGTGTCGCTAGTGCATTTTCGGTATTTCTACATGCCCTTCTGTTGGACGGACAGCGCTGTATGCCCCATTGGCTGCTGTCGTAGAGAAATCTGGTGTCATTTTATAAATAAGTTCATACAGTCCGCTGAGAAGGAAAAAAATCTCGTATTGATTGCAGAGGAAGGAAAGCCTCTTTCCCATGGTGGCTAACTCCATGGTAGTTTCCTGCTGATAGGTAAAGGAAGAACCCCGGTGAATCTGGACGCGCAGAAACAACAGAGCACGTGCTTCTCCAGTGCTTGTACTATAGCAACATTCATGCGAGGCTCATCTTACCATTACTACACAAATACCCAGGGCGCACCGGATAATTTTACCCCACCCTGTTGCTTTCAGATGCTAACCCTACTGCAAGATACAACATTGCCAGCTTGTTTGCAGCAATGCTCTGAATTCCTCAGATAACGGCTTCTAGCTCATGCTTGGGGCTCAGCAGTATAAACTAGGTTCAATGTGCACCTGGTTTGTTGTATTAGGGTGCTTTAATAGAACTTAAAGGAAATAGTTAACAGAAATAGCTGTCCATTTTTTCCACATGCTCACTTTTTATGCTGCTTTCTCACTTCTATAGCTTTTTATTCCATTTTGTGTGTTTTTTATAACATCTCGCTTTTTATAACTCCTTTTAAATTTTTGCTTTTTATATCCTTCATACGTGCTTCCTTTTAAGGACTGTATCCTTCCCCCATATGCCAAGTCTGTGGCCATAATAAAGATTGATTGGATTTGATAAAGGAAGGAGAAAGTGACTCAGCCTGCTTATTCGTTTGCAAGTTGTTAAACAAAAGACTAATTTTGATGGCTGCCTCTCTGCGGATATTTTGAAGCTCTGTATCTTGTAATACATCTTTTCTAGAGTTGAACAGCGGATGCATTAGGATTAGCTGTGTATATTTTAAATTGTGTTTTAATTACTTCCTCCCCGCCAGCCACCCTCCAAACAGAGGGAGGCAGTAGCATTAAATCTTCTGCTAAAAATGAATGTCTTCACCAATCAGTGAAGTACAGACCAAGGACCATCTTCCTAGTAATTATGAATTTGTCGTCAAATTAGTTTCACACATAGTTACCTTTACTTCCATGTGGAGATATCAATTTGTGTTCTTCCTTTTTTTTTTCTTAAATACAAGAAACACAAAAGAATAGTCTGGTCTATTGGGACCACAAAAAATTATTAGCATGAAAGGAATGGGAACATGTCTATCTTCTAGGCTCAATTCATCACAGGCACATGAAAAATAATCTCATCAAGTGTCCAGTAGTTGATCAGATAATTTGTGGGGGAAATGCATTCATTTGGGTGAATATCCCATTCAAAGCTATAAAGAATAGATAGATTTTAACTGCAGAGAACCAGCCTTCTGCTCTCTTATTATTTTGGATCATAACTACCATCCTCCCTTGCTATTAGCCTGATGGCTAAGGTGGATGGGAGTTGGAGTCCCAACAGATTGGAAGAATGCAGTTTGACCACTGCTGCCCTGTTATTACTCAGTTTGGTGCATCCTTATGAATCAGATTTTTCTCCTCATTCCTGGCTCTGCTGGTGATACACGCACACATATCTCTGAATGTGAATCAGGACAGTTTAAGTCCTGCATGGGTGAGAAAGCACTATTTTACTTCTTTCTACTTGTCCGTTGTTGCCTTCCAATCTACTTGTGTCCTCTTCCAAGGATACCCTTCTAAAGTCATGGCCCTACTTAGCTGCGTCCCTCTGTTAAAGCTGGATAACAAGCAAAGCCATGAGGTCAGTGGGGAGAAGTGTTTGAGAAGCCCTTTTATTGGAAGGTGTATTCAGTTAAGCTGTACCAGGACTCAATTAAAAATTAAGGACAGTTCGGCCCTTTGAAGTAGTGACTTCTGCAAAATAATAGATTACAGTGCTTTGGATTTGATTTGGAAAAGGTGCTTTTGAAACACATTTGCAAATAACAATAACCTGCAACTGATTAAAGCAGCCATATTTTTTCCCAGAAAGGAAGTTCAGAGAAAAATACATACTATGTTCTTCTGTTTGGTTTGGCTAATATTTATGTACACAACCAGGCAATATTCATTAATGTGTAAAAAAAAAAAAAACCAAAGCAAACCCTGATGAATGTTGACAATTTATAATATATTTTAAGGATGTGATGTACTATTTTTTTCATAGCTTGGTGAGTGAGCTTGGTTACTTCCGAGAAAGAAGAAATAGAAGTTCTTATTAGATTAAGCTGAGCAAGTGATGCAAATTGCATTTGGAGAAAGATCAAAGATGACTGGAAAAAAAAGTGATGGCTACAAATTGATATCTTCAGGCAGGCTGTGGGAGTGTGCATGAGGATATGTTGCATTTAATTTGGAAAAGCTGAAATCGGGAACACTGAAATGCCCGGGGAAGCACGAGAGAGAGAATGTGTGTACCATGCTGAATCAGTCGGTCCCTAGGGAAGATTTTCCCTGGCAGTTCTTCAAATGAAAAGAGGATGCCAGAGAGCAATGCCATGTCGAGCTGGATATGATTTAAAGACTTTAAATAAGCAGCGCAAATAAGATAGCCATTCCTTGCCTATCATAAAAAGTAATGGGCAAGGAAAGACACACTGCTGATGCTGTAAATCAGTTCTGTGTTGGGCTAATGGAAGTGTGTGTGACCTTGGTGCTTATAGGTGGAAGAGATAAATATGTATATATTAAGTTCTTTGATAGATGACAGACCTCTATCAGTCATTCCATATCTTGGATTTAACCTGTCTGTGATGCCTCAAGTTTTGAAGCTGTATCCTGCTGCCACATTACATTTCTGTTTTGGGCAGAGCATTTTTAATGCTTTTTGCAGTGCCTGGGAATCCTACAGACCTTGAAAGATAGGAAACCATGTACAAATACTATTAATTATTGGGTTGGCATGCTGGCTCAAAATTAGCTCAGAGCAGTGCAGCCCATGATGCCAAGAACATTGGTCTTCAAAATGGGCCAAATGTTGGGTAAAAACAGAAGGGCTCTTGCGTGAAAATTGTTCTGCTTCTCTTCTAATTCATCCATCTAGGACTTAGCTGTACCATATTTCATTCAGGATTCTTTTTCTAGGTTTTATTACCATTGCCTACATGTTCTTTCAGAAACTTATGGATATGATGTGGTATGGAGGTACTCTCTAAGCTTGTGGAGTCAACCATTAAAACTTTTACATCTAGTTTCCTTGGTGCTGTATTGTAATTCAGAAGGTTTATGTCCTTAAGCTTGCCTGTCACCTATCCCTTTTTACCAGCCACCTTTTTCTAGAGCTTCTGTTAGCATGAGTCATCCTTCCTCAACTTAAACTATGATTTGTCTACCAACTCCTATGAATTCCCCTAGAAATTGTCTTCATGCATTGTTCTTGGTCCTTCGTGGTAGAGTGGTGTTTCCCAACCTGGGCAACTTCCAGATGTGGGGACCTCAACTCCCAGAAATCCCCAGCCAGAAAGGCCATAGCTGAGAAGCTCTGGAGATGGAAGTCCACACACCTGGATGTCGCCCAAGTTACTGTAGAGCTTAGTCTGTTTTGCTTGAGGTCCCAGGATCTGGGAGGTTCAAGAAAGCAACACATGGGATTCCTTTCTGTTAAAAAGGCCACCTCCTTGTTTTTGACCACCTCCTCATGAGCCACTGCTCATGTGGGTGGTGTCATTCATAAATAAATAAATAGACAGTTTCCCTAGATAGCTGTTCCTCTACTGGAGGAATAAGACTTTAATGATAGAAATACCTTTCCAGGAACAATAACACAGTTCAAGTTCTGTTTAGCAGTTATGGTGAATATTGTTTTCACCAGCTTGATGATAGGATGGCACAAAACCCCCAGTGAAATCTTGTCTCCATCACACTGATACATAGATAAGCCAGCATGCTCTGTTCCTAGTGTTTTTACATGGCTGGTGCCGTGGTTTCAGGTAATAATGAGTAGAGCACAAGCTTCTTAGAGAGTGTAAAAACCCACAGAGGGAACAGCCAGCCTGTATGAAATCCTTTGGGTTATGGCCATTTTTATAGAGCTATTGTAAATAGGCAGATGCCAGAGATCATATTCTTTTTCTTCTGGTGTAGTTTTATCCCATTAAAGGGTTTGGCGGGGGGGGGGGTAGCAAAGTGTTTTGTTGGTTAAGGAAGTAGAGCATGGCAGAATCCCGGATTCTCTGTGCCTCTTTATGTTTGCTACTTGTTTGAAAACCCAGCTTGGTGCTGCCAGAATACAGTTGCAGACTCTTTGGAACATTTCAAACATTTGTGCCTGAAAACAGTGTCTGCATTCACACATCTGCAGAGACTTCCCATTTTCCACTGTCTGCTAGTTTTCTTGTTCAGTATTGTCAAGTCTGAGTTGAAGACTTCCTCCTGCAAGCGGTGTGTGTGTGTGTGTGTGTGTGTGTGTTTGTGTTTGTGTTTAAGATCCAGGATAACACAGGTGGCATTGAAATTGATGAACTGAAGGAGAATTTGTAAGGTTAAAGTAATAGATGCAGAAGGCAAATAGAAAGATTCTTTGGAAGAATGAACTCAGAGAAAGACAAAGAGGGGCAGAAGAGGAGAGGTGAGAGCACTGCTCCGTGAAATGGATTAAATGTAGGAGAGAAGAGGCAAATAAAAGAACAGGAAGAAACAATATGAAAACCATGAGGAAGACATTCTTGCCTCGGTTTTAATTAACCCTCAGCAAATTCTTCTGTGGCAGAGAGTTCATCTCATAACTACAGCAAGGACACTGCCCACTGGAAAAGAAATAATTCTAGGAAAGTCTCCCCCAACCAACGACCACCTGATGTTTGGGCTCCAACTTGCATAAAACTTAGCCAAAAGTCAGTTGCTTTTTTCCAGAAATGTTGGGTTGTTTTTTTTTTACATAAATAACATTTTGATATGGAAGAACTGTCCCACATGCAAAAAGTGACGTGCTGCCCAGGAGCAGTTGTTCCACACCAGTGAGAAAACAATAGCTAACTATTCATAGAAGAGCTATCCTCCTCGTTGTCTGTTCCTCTTCCTAATATTGTTGATGCTGACTAGCGGGTCAAATGCTGGTGGTAATTTCTTGCCTCTACTATGCTACTGCTGTCATTTCCCCCCTCTTCCTGTTCAGGTTCAGTTTGACCAGTATCATTCCCATGCGATTCTGGGGCAGAGTGCTGGGCTTGCAGGCCAAGAACTCACAGTTCCTACTGGAGGAGAAGCCATTTCGCATCCTTGGCGGCTCGGTGCACTATTTTCGCATCCCTCGAGAATATTGGAAGGACCGCTTGGTCAAGATGAGGGCGTGTGGCTTGAACACCGTTACAACGTAAGATTTGCTCTTTTTGTTGGCTCACTCTGCTTTGTCCCATTGTCACTGCTGACTCCGTTGGAATAACAGGAGATGCTGGCTTCCATCCACCACTGATGTATCTAACTCATGGTTTCCTCCAGCAATCTTGCATTTCAGATGGGAGTTGTTCCTGTCCCTACCAATAGATGCTAGGAGCTGAACTCAGTATCTTTGGTATGTAAAACATACCACTGAGCTCCACCTCAGGCCTAACTGTGTAGATTCAGGCACTATTTCATATTGTGGTGCACAATAGGCTTCATCACACAGACCCAAACTCTTGTAGACACTCAGGTCTCATGGTGAGTGAGGGCATCTGTTGTACAGAACCAACCAAGAGGAGATTGTAAAGATAGGGATGTTCTAGGAAGGCCATCCTATATTCAGATACAAAATGGAATGATTCACATATATGTGATCACATAGAGTGAATCTTCTTTCAAATGATCTAATTCTATCACTCTTTCCCCCTTCCCATATCAGGAAAAGACTGCTTTTCTCTCTAAAGATAGGTGCCTTGTAGGGGACTTTGGAAATAATCACATGAAATCAGGCCTAGGACCACCTCTGGTCCTGAAGCCACTGTTGCTTGTCTCCTCACCCTTTATTTTATTCTACCTTTTGAGTCAGTCCCTGAAGTTTTCTTAGCAACGTTTTTGGAAGTGATTTTCCATTGTTTTCTTCCTAGGGCTGAGGGAGAGTAACTAGCCCAAAGTCACCTAGCTGGCTGCATACCTAAAGCTCAACTAAAATTCACAATCACCTGGTTTCTAGCCTGGTGCCTTTAAGCACTACACCAAACTAGCTGTCTGTCCTTTATTTAGGAGATATTTATTCACTTTGTGTTCCAGATATGTTCCATGGAATCTTCATGAGGCAGTGAGAGGGACATATGACTTCAGTGGAAACTTGGATCTGCAGTAGGTATCAGGGGATCTTACATTTTCTTAAAAAAAAAAACCCAACCAAATCTAGCAACCTAAAAATCAATTTTCTTTCTTCTGGTAACAAATTTACATATACTGAATTTCTCATTCTTAAACAATACTGGGAAAAAGAGGGAATGGTTTACAGAAGTAAAAATTTGGGGGGGGATGGTTTGATTTGGTAATCAGAAATACAGTAGGTTCTTGTGCTACTGATTGTAATAAAAACTATAGGGGAGGGAACATTATGTATGCTGCTTTGAGATATGTAAATAAAGGTAGAATATAAATAAAATGAACCTCTATCTACCTGTCTATGTCTATCAGCACACGATCCTGGTGCATAGAGAGCTGTATTTGAGCCCTGATAGCTATAACTTTTGCCAACTTTGTAAAAATATCAACAGAATTTAGATGCCAGGAAAATCTCATGGGTCAGTTTTAATAATCCCTACATTCTATAGCCAGGTCAGTCAATAAGGCAATCTCTATTGAAAAAGAAAAAAAAAACTAGACTTATTTTATATTCAATGTTCTCCTCATCCACTGTCAATAAAGCTTGTCTGGAGTTGGCTAGAATTATATGAAATGGGCTGAAATTGTGACTCAGGAACAGGTGATGACACATGCCAAATCTTTTCCACTGGAGAGAGGCGATTCAGGTTTTATCTATCCCAGATATTATTTCTTGTATTAGGCCAGTCGGGGATGCTTGCAGAGGGTGTATGTAACCCAATGATAAATTTAGCACCTTTGGAGACCCAGTAAAGGCTACTCTTTTTCTTGAAAATGTTCATCAGACTGGAGTTTGCACTGCACTGGCCAAAAGGTGCTTTTCTGGCCCTGCACAGGTCCTGAGAGACCCTGGGATAGCCTGGAGCCTTGGTTAAGAGCTAATGCAATTGTTTTACAACTGATCCTATTCTCACAAATATACTGAAGGCTCTTTCCTCCTCTAAATACTGTAACTCTTTGCACTGATGTGATGTAACAAGGAATAAAAATGATCCCTGGGCATTCTGGCATTTCCATACACATACTGTATTTCCTATCTGTATGGTTAGGTCACCATTTTTCAAACTTGGCAACTTTAAGATGAGTGGACTTCAACTCCCAGAATTCTCTAGCCAGCATGGGGAGTTGAAGCCTGTCCTGTTTCAGGTTTCAAATTCATACACACACACTTGCTAGGTGAGGAAGGGAATTTATTCAAGGCTGAGCAGTTAACAATAGACAA